TCTGGGCCAGGAGCAGCGGGACAGAAGGTTGCCCAAAAGCCCTTTCCTCTGGGCTGGGAGCAACGGGAGGGATGGTGACCGGGAAGCCCCTTCCTCTGGACCAGGAGCAGTGGGACGAGGGCTCAGAAGCCCCTATCTCTGGGCCGGGAACAGTGGGACTCAGTACCTTGGTCTGGTGGTCTGGTGTCCTCTGCGTATTTGTAGTGTGGAATCAGGTGGCTGCCTGTCTGCAGCAGGGTGATTCGGTGTCTTCCGCTTGACTCAGGACCTTGGTAGGGCGTGCACAGACCTGCCTGTCTGCAGCGAGCTGATTCAGCGTGTGTTCCGTGCGACTGGGGACCTCGGTAGGGTGTGGGCAGACCTGTCTGTCTGCAGCGGGCTGATTCAGGGTGTTCTGTGCAACTCAGGACCTGGGTAGGGCCTTAAAACTATTTTCTTGGGATCCCAGATGTTGGAACTAGCAGAAAAATATTTCAAAGTAGTTATTATAAATATATTAAAAAACAGCAGGAAACTATATTTGAAGAAATGAAGGAAAATATAGCAACAATTGATAATTAAGAATACCAGTGGGGGAAATCATAAAAAACTAAATAAACTCTTGGGCCAGGGATTTAGCTCAGTGATTCAGCCACCTGCCCCGCAAGCGCAAGGACCTGAGTTCAATCCCTGGTACCAAAAAAAAAAAAAAAATGAAGAGGAGAAAATCAAATAAACTCTGGAGTTGAACAATAACCAAAATAAATATTCAATAGAGGGACTCAAAGGCAGAAGTGAGCTAGCACATGAATCAATGAAAATATAGATCAATATGGATTATCCAATCTGAAGCATGGAAAAGAACTAAAAATGAACAGGACTCAGAAACTGTGGAATACCACCAACTGTGTCAGTTTTGTCATAATGGGAGGCATGAAAGAAGGATGGGGCAAAAAAAAGTATTTGAAGAATTAATTGCTGAAATTCCTTAAGTTTCATGAAAGACATTTATACATCCAAGAGGCACTATCCAAATAGGAGAAACACGGAATGATCTACACTTACATTGTAGTCCAATTGTTGAAAGTCAAAGACAAAGATTAGGAAAGAAGCAGTGGAAAGCACTTCATCATATGCAGAGTACAGAAAGCGAGACCCACAGGGAGTCTCCTCAGAAGCAATGGAAGACGGAAGGCAGTGGGTTGACATGGAAGAGAAAAAAGTACTGAAAGAAAAAAACGTCATCTGAAGAATTTTATGTCCAGTGACATGCTCCAAAAATGAAAGCAAAATAAATATATGTCCAGATGAAGAGAAAAGTTGTATAACTAGCTGACTTGTCCTATAAAGACACTAAAGGAAGTCCTTCAGGAAATGAAATGAAAGGAAATGAAACGAAGTGGCAGTGCAAATCTATACAATGAAACAGAGAACTTGTAAATGTATTCTTTCTCTTTTCTTTTCCTATACATTTAAAAGGCTATTATGGAATAAATGATAAAACTGTGAGGTTTGTTGCTGGAAGGCAAGGTTGATGTAATGTCAGAAAATTGATTAATGTAATATACCACATTTATAAAGTAAAAGACAAAAAATATACAGTTGTTAGAAAACACTTGACAAGATCCCATAAAAGCTCTCAATAAGCTAGGAATAGAAGGAACTTCCTTAGCCCGATACAGAGCATCAACAAAAAAATCCCACAGTTAGCATCTTCCTTCATGTGGGAGACCAGATGCCTTTCCCTACCACTTTATTTAGCACCATGTTGTAGCTTCTAGCCAGTGCAATAACACAAGGAAAACAAATAATTAAATGCATTTAGATTAGAGTCTAAGACATGAAATTGTCCTTATCCTCAGACAATAATCCTGCATGCAGATAATCCTAAAGAATCCACAAAAAACTACTAGAACTAATAAAGGAGTTTATCACGGTAACAGTATTGAAGAGTAATGTGTAAAAATCAATTGTATTTCTATATACTAATGTTGACAAAATAAAGAACATAGTGCTCAGGGTCAGGGATATAGCTCAGTGGGAAAGCATGTATGTGACATGCACGAGGTCCTGAGTTTGATCCTCATACGCATACACAAATAACATACACAAATGTTACTGTAAGAAAAGAGTTCTTCCCATGTCTGAAAATGAATGAAATACTTGGAATAAGTTTAAGAAAATAAGTGCAGAATTTGGGTTCCTTACAAATTAATCTATGGATTCAATGCAATCCTCACCAAAATCCTAGGAACAGTTTTTAAAAGAATGACAAAACAATCCTAAATTTTATGTATGAAATTAAAGTAAACCAGAATAACTAATTCTTTGGCAGAACCATGTTGAAGAACTTCCCAATTTTAAAGCTTTCCTATACAGCTTCAGTAATTAAGACAGTGTGCTACTGACATCATGATAAAATGACAATGCAACTGAATTAAGAATAAGGAAAAAACCCTCAGATTTATTGCCACATTTTTCACAAAAGTGCCCCAGCACTTTAGTGTGACAGAGAATATTCTTTTTGATAAATGGTGCTGGGACAGTTGGATATCCATATTGCAAAAAGATGAACGTAGGCCTTTGCCTCACATCTTACTAAAAAATTAAAGGGCAGGGGATGTGGCTCAGTGGTGCAGCTACTTGTGCAATGTGTACAAGGCCCAGCTTTCAATCCCTAGCACCACCATCACCACCACCAAAACAAACAAACAACAAACAACCTCCCCCCAGACCCAAATGTGATTGCTAAATTATAGAAAATCTATATTATTGTGGGTTAGGTAAATGTTTTTAAATGGTGCATTTCATGTTATGCAAATTATGCCTCAATAGCACTGTTAAATACATGTCCATTGACCCCACTAATGTTGATTATATACCTCCAGGCTCCTGGAAAGCTGTATTTGTTCTAGCTCTTTGTAAAGCTATCAAAGAATTCCCTGTGGACTCAGAGGGTTCACTTGGTTCAGATGGGCTTCTTCAGGCCTGAGAATTTAAGGGCATAATGAGGCAATGCAGGTCTTGGATGTGGGCCAAGTGTTGTGGAAAGAAAAGCCACAGTGCCAAGATAGTCAGATTGCAGTGTTTACTCTTCTCACTTGCTCACCTGTACTTCAGGTGTGGAGCTGCCCAGAAACTGTGGCAAAGTCACTATGGCAGCCCTCTCACGGCTGTCTGAGGGCAGTGTCCGTTGATCCTCCAGCTGCATGGGCCCAGCTCTGGTGCAGACTTCTTGTAGGTCCCCGCCTGCCTCCATCATGGCCTTTCTAGTGCTGCTGCAGAGATTATCCTTGAGACGGACAAACCTCAGATACACTGTCCAGTCATTTTCATTTTTTAAACATTCTGAACATCTCCTCCTCCTAGATATCTATCCTTGGTTATCATTCTCTCTCTAGAAACAGTGTCCATAACTATGAGGCAGCCCATCAAAAGAGCATGGCTTTGGAGTCATGCATGTAGTTTAAATTCCAATTCCTGACTCATCACCTGTGATGGTTAATGGCTGTTAATGGGTTTGAGTTGAGAGTTACCTAGGAGATCGGTAAAGCACACTTCTGGTGTGTCTCTGAGGGTGTTCCTGAAGGTGACCGGCATGGGGGAGACTACCCCGAATGTGAGCAGCAGTGTCTGATGGGCTGCAGCCAGGTGGAATAAAAGTGGGAGGAGGAGGAAGCCTCCCTTGAAGACTGTGGCAGGCTCCCAGTCTCTCTGTCTCCGTCTCTCTCTGCCTTGCCTCAGTGACAAAAAGCTAACACAGTAGCCATGTGACTTTGGGGGACATTTCTTGGCTTCTCTGAGTCTTGCTTTAGGAAATCTGCAAAACAGAGAGGGTTATTGTGAAGAGGAAATAAGACTGTGCATGGAAAGGCTTGAGCACAACTGGTTGATAATCTGTATTCTTTGTTGATCAGATAGTGGATTGTAAGGCATGGCCTCTGGATCTGAATGTGAATCTGTGGTTTTCTGCTAGCCAAGTGAACTGGGGAAAATTCCATAATATCTCCCTGCCTCTGTTTCTGCTTCTGTAAAGTGGGTATTTAGTACTCACCTTATTAGGGCTACCCAAAGATTAAATGAATTAATATGGGATCACTTAGAACACTGCCTTATAAATTTTATACAAGTGGAAGCTGCTATCTTCTCAGCAGCCAGTGCGATGCCTTTGTTCTTGTGAGGCATCATGCCTGATTTATGTGGCCTAGACACAGGGTTATCAGAAACAATGGTGTCATCTTGTGTGCTCAAGGTAGGCCTGGTGAAGTCTGGCTGTTGGGTCAGCAGTGGTGGGTTCTGAATCCCCCGTCTCACCACACCACATGCATGTTGTCACTTGCTTCGTGCTGACTGGAGAGGGGCCCTTCCCCATGAGGACAGGAACTGCCCTGGTTCAGGATGAGCCAGGTTGGATTTGTCTCCTGCAATGGCTTCACTAGATCCTCCCACAACCATGGACTCTCTAAAATCTCTGCGTGCAGCATTGCAGAGTGCCTATAAATTTGTTTCTTCCACACAGCAGCCTGCAAATACCATAAATTTGAAACCTTTAGCTCTGGTTGAGATGGTAAAAAGGATCTATTCTGTTTTCCTCTTGTCCCAGAGATTAACTCATTGGAAACTGGCTTATTGAGGTCCTTTAGAATATTTAGGTCTGATTTATCACTAATTACTTCTGCTTTAATTTTAGCTGATTATATACCTTGGAACCAACCGAGACAAGAGCTTCTCCGTCCACCATACAACTACCGGCCGGGATCCACCAAGTTTGACAGCAGAACCACGCACCAGGACGACTACTCCCTGAAGGGCCTTGTGAACACGAGGAGCTGTAAGCCTCCGGCCATGGCCAAGCTCTGTAACATCCCGTTGGAGGATCTGACTAACTACAAGATGAGCTATGTGCCCCACCCTGTGGAGAAGTGCTTTATGCACGAGGCAGAGAAATTTAGACCCTGTGACATCCCTTTCGAGAGCCTCACCACCCACAAAGAGTCCTATCGGGGCTTGGTAGGGGAGCCTGCCAAGAGCTTGAAACCTCCAGCCAGGCCCCCGGGGCTTGACGCACCTTTCTCTAACACCACAGAGTTTCAAGATAAGTACCAGGCATGGCCAGCGCCCCAGGTGTTCTCCAAAGCTCCAGTCACCTATGTCCCCCCAGAAGAGAAGATGGATTTTCTGACGACCGTCCAAGCCCACTACACTTACCCTAAGGGTAGTCCTGTTCAGTCCTGCCGCCCGGTGCTCCCAGTTAAGAAGAGCAGCCGCTTTGAAAGCTCCACCACCACCAAAGAAGACTACAGGCAGTGGGCCAGCACACGTATGGAGCCAGTCAAGCCCATTCCCCAGCTGAACCATCCCACCAAGCCCTTGGACTGCCTGACCACCATGCAGGCCCACTTCGTGCCCCACCCACCTACCAGTACCAAGAGCTGTAAGCCCATGTGGTCTGGCCCTCGAGGAAATATTCCCTTGGAGGGCCAGACCACCTACACCATCAGCTTCACTCCCAAAGAAATGGGCAGGTGCCCAGCTTCATACCCGGAGCCCCCTGGCTACATCTTTGAGGAAGAGGATGCTTTGGGGCACAAGATATACAGGCCAGTCTCCCAGACTGGCTCTGGGCAGAGCAGTGGTCTTTCTGTCAGCGATGCAGAAAACCCTAACCAGAGGAAGTTGGCAGTATCAGCCTGACTTTAAAAATTGTTATTTAGAAGTTACACAATGCTTTTAAAAGCAAGCAATGGAGAATTATTCCTTGGAAAAAAGAAGAATTCCCCAAAATGAGGAAAAACAACTTCATCACCAGTTGCAGGACACTTGAATAAAATGAAAATCACTTGAGTCAAGGAAAATGATATTTAATCACTGGCTGATTAACTCCACTTGATTCCCCTTCTACAGTCTTCCCCACCCTTGCCAAATACAGAGTGCCAAAGAATAAATCTATTTTGGGGGGATCGAATCTGCAGGTCCGTATTTTCCCTCGTGTGCTGTCCACGCTGAGAGCAGTCAGTTGCTTGAGACTTGGGAGAGATTTCATGCTAAACTCTTGTCATGCCACCTGTCACCCTGATACCTCTGGGAGTGCCTTAGCCTGGTCTGGGTCTTGTTTTAGGATTTCTTGCCCAGGGCTTCCCAGGGCATTTCCCTTCTCTTTCCTGGGTAACGTACCAACAAGAACTTGCTGGGATGTGGCCTCCGTAGTTGTGAGGGAAGAGGACCTAGCGCTCATGGACCTGTCAGACTGCTCCTTTCCCCAGAACCAGTGCAGGGGAACAGGGATGGAGGGGAGTCAGGGCAGCCAGGCTGTGGTCTGCAGCAGCCAGGGCTGTGAGCGAGAGGCCTTTACTCTTGCCAATGCTCTGAGCCTGGAGCAGACTGCCGCAGGCTGTGCCAATTTCTAGGCTCGCTTGCCCCAAATGACAGCTGTGACCAGACCTATGACAAAGCTTGATATATGATGAGCTAGACCCTTTGCTGGAGATTTCTCTCTTGGCTCTAAGGTTTTATAAATTTGATTTTTGAGGCCAAGTATTTTGGAGGTGTGCTTTTTTCAAAACTGGGCAGAAGTAGGCAAGACACTATTCAGGGGGCCCTGTGCTAAGGTCAGATGGGTTCATGGGTTTGCATGAACCTCACGTAACCTGGACATGTACTGATACTGTACACTGTGTACTTGCCTCCAAGTCCACAGAACCCTGACTCACCCACAGTCTTAGGGAACCCGGGAACAGGGTTGAGGAGAGAAGTAGATTTCAGCTCAAGTTTGGAGACTTGGGCTCAGTCTCAGGGCCTGGTCCTTGAGTTAGGAACATGTATCTTTGTTCCTAGGGCTCAAACTTTCTGTGGCTCTCACCTATCTGGACCAGACTTTGCAAGCCCCTACCTTGCATTCCCTGTGAGCTTAGTTTGCATTCCTGGGTGGGGATCTCCATGCAGTCCTCTCACTGTTGTATGGGGTCTGGATACCTGATCTATGTGGTAAACAGGCTGAGTGGCAATCACCTTGTGCAAAGCCGTACAGCTCAGATAGCAGAGCTGGAACTGAAATGCATCTGCTGATCCCAGATCTGCTGCTTTTCCACAGTGCAGGTGCCTCCTACCGCTTGTGTCTCCACTCTCTGGGCCCCATGAAGCATATCGAACCACGCATCTGAGTGTACTGGACTCTACTAATGGAGCAAATGGAGAATACTGAGAAAGGTAGGCTTTATTATGTTACTTTTTTTGTTTTGAATAAATCAGAGAAATACTAAACTTGATTTGGGAAGCCAAATAGTACTAAATTGCTTATGCAAATACAGAAGTCTCTATCTCCCATCTCTTTCACTCTCCATGATGATTTATTCTCCAGAAAGAAAAATTAAATTTTCTGGCTTTGCTAGCATTTTTCTTCACATTTCTAAAAATTCTATGGAATCATCAGTTTTAGACATCTGTTTTGGTAGATTAGGGCCTGCACTGCATGTACATCTCTCCTTTTCTCTCTCCCTTCTCGTCTATGCAGTTCTATGACCAATAAGCTTTTTTCAGTTTTTATTCTTTATTAGTGGATGTTTGTGGCACACAGTGACATTTCTTGTGAGGAGTTAGTACATGTACACAGAACACCTCAATCCTTTTTCATCATCATCTTTCCTTCCTCTCCCTCCATCTCTCGGTCCCCCACCCACTGGAAAAGATCTATTCCCTGTTTTCTATTGTCAATCTTATTTGCTCTTTATTTCTTACAAGCCTTTCTGGTGTCCATATTGCTAGGAAGGGAAGCTGTAGGATGGGGTTGACTTGGGTGATCAGAAAGCTCTGAGCCCATGGGGAAGAGGGATTTACTATGAGCACTGCTGTTGTGATAATTTTTGGGCATCTTCATGGTGACCCAGGTCACCTGAGCCAGCTCGGGTAGCCCTGCCTTGCTTGCTTTGTTTGGCCTTAAGGAACAAGTTCACCCTCTCCTACTTAGCTGTTTTTCCTTCTAAGTTAAAAATCCTTAATATTATACAAATAATTAATACAAGTAAAAAATTCACTGCCACTGTGGTGCTTTTACATTTAGGCACTCATTTTTCTAGGGTTCCAGGAGACTCTAGCTACTGAAAAGAAATCCCTAAGATGCAGAGGTTCATGGAGAGAGGAAAAGGTTGGATTCTGAGGCAGGGCCTCATTAGGCATTCTGGCAAATCCTGACTAGAGTTAAAACTTTCCTGGAGAAAGCAGTTGACAAGACAAGAGGGAAGGCAGACAGGCAGAGCACAGGGGAAGGCAGGTACTGGAAACCAAGGTAGCTGCCTCTCACCCACCCCAGTAAAATGCAAAGGAGACCAGGAGAGGCTGCTTAAAACTCTTATTTAGTTATAAAAATGCACGTTTGCATATATATATATATATGCACTCCAGGGTCACTCTGCTATTGAACTAGGTAAATCACTAACTTGACCTTGTATGTAAGACCCCTCCTAACCTCCCCCTATAAATTCCAGAGATAAGGCCCGGACAAAGACAAGCAGACCTCCTTAGGAATGTGCACATAGACAATAGGGCCCCAGCTTAGGGTCTTGGACCCTGGGATCCATCTATGATAGTTCAGAGAATCAATCAGGTTGCGACAAGTTCCAGGTATGGACCTGGGGAAAGGGCCTCTATCATTTTGATAAAAGGAAGTCGAGGACAAAGACCCATGGCTATCCAGCTCAGGGCTCCCTACACTCTTGATGCAGAAAATAATACCAGAGTTGAAATATGAAATATGAAATATATTTCTCAACCTGTTAGCTGTCTGATACGCTGGTGGGACACTTAACCCCTGCACCTTACACCCTCAGGACTCATGCCATTTTCCTTTCACTGGAGCAAGCCCACTAACTCAAAGCATACTTTCACCTTAATAAACTTTGCCACTGTTTCCTTGCTGTTATGGCTGTGTCTAGACATCCCCCAAAGCCTCATGTCATCAGAGGTGGGGCTTTTTGGAGGTGGCTGGATCTAGGGTGTGAAGTACAGGTGATACCACCTGCAAGCCTTGTAGCCTGGATAGAATACAAAGGGAGAGAGTGTTGCCTGCTCTTCAGTGCCCCTCTACCATGCCACCCTGCCTTGGAGACAGCTGATCCTGTACTGAAACCTCTACTGAAACCTTCTTTAACCTTGGGTGTCAGGTATTTTGTCTCAGCATTTGCCATCATGTGCTATGTCCAGTTCTTTTTTTTTCCCCCATTAACTTTATTGGTACATTTTAGGTATAAAATACAGTTTCATTCATCATTGGGATCTTGTACCATTACATGAGTCTCTTGGTTCTTATTTTTTTCCCCTTCCCTTACCCTCCCTTCACCCCCTCCACCCTTCCCTATTTGCAAAGACCTTGTTTCCATTTTTTTTCCTCTTCTCAT